CTTGAATATACTCCTCTGAGGGATGCCTCAATTCTTCAAATTCCTCCAGTAATTCCTGTCACTACAGTATGTTGAGGCAATGTGAATGGTATCCTATCCTAAAGTATTTTACATATAATGTAAGCATACATTTACGCATGGCTGAATATAAACAACACAAGGTCTAACCCTTACCCCAAACTTTGCCAGAATGAATCCTTTGCAATTACTGTTTTGCCTTTCTTCCTCAATCCTCTCATCCTAAACCTCTAGCTTACCGGTACTTTGGCTAGAATAGTAGAAACCCTCCAGACACATCAAATTGCATCATCTGTTAAAGTGGCTTGCCTGTACAGTGTAATAAGATCAAAGAGGTCAACTATTCCTATGGCCTAACAGCCTCGGAGTCTGTGGTTGCCAATCACCACAAGATCCAACAGTAGCATTCAGTGGGATTAGCTCCCATTGACTCCACATGGCTAGCTTGCGTGGCTGTTGTTGATTGCCTAGTGCCTTATTTAGTGCATCAGACTTTTTCATCTGATGCACTGCATCTAGAAGGGTTAGGACTAAAATCCTTGGGGGATTTGGAGGATTGAAGGTTAGGGGACAATATCTAGTGCATGTGATCATACATTATTAATGAGACAAAACAGTCTTGGGCACAAGGGAAACTATAGATACTCGTGTAGATCAAGTTGGGTTTAACTGAACTGCTGTTTGAACACAGTAATTGCAACAGCAACATGCACTGTCAATATGGGAGTCTTTGGAATTTAACAAAACATTGTACTTTTCATGCAAACTGAAAGTACAACTGTAGATCTAAGTACCACTACCTCAAACATAATCCTCAAACTCTTTACCCTTGCATCTCTAGCGGCAAATCTAGTATGGGTGAAATCTGATGTTATTTTGAGATCCTTTATTAATCCATTGTACTTCCCTAATACATGTATATCTCTGCCCATTTGCTTGGATCCTACATGCTCATCAACAATCTATGTGTTAAAACGGTGATAAGTAAGGTCTAGCCATTATGTACATGTATAAATTTATTAATAAATTGTGACTAACATGATATGAATAATGACTAACACCCACCTGTTCAGGACATCAAGCCATCCTCCCAAAGTGAAATTTTGCAATGAGTTTGTTATGGTACACCAAAGATGAATTAACACCCAGGACATCAATCATAATGTGCAAGTGGACACCTGTGCTACTTTCCAATAGGGTCCAAGTTAGTTACGCGTACTTAGTACTCGGACTATGCTAGTACATGTACATGTATTATATGCAGTAGTGCTTGGTGTCAGTGGTGGTACACTAATGCCAGACTGCCATGACTTACCGTACATACTTCTAGAACTGTGAGGTTTTTACAAACCTTTACATAGCAATGTTAAACAGTGCATAGGCCTAATTGAAGGTTTGCTATTTCAATCATATGGAATTTCTCTGCAGACATATTTATGCACTAAGATTTTACAAACCTTAACAAAACTCAAAGCAAGTGCTCAATGTTAACATATCAGTTGAAAGGTCACAACGCCAGTTTTACGACAACTTGACCAACACACAATCTAATACACGGACTGAGCAATAAGATACTACATGTACCAATGGGCTCTTCCAAAACTTGGGCAGCAGTGTAGATGTCTTGACATGGAACAGCCGTCAAAGGGTCAAGTGACATAATGTTGAACGACCGTCTTTTAATCCTAACCCTACATAACACTACAAATTGCTAATTGTAGTAAAATGTAGTACTGAGCGCTGTCGCTTGTAAGAGGACATGACTTTATTGTTCTCTGAAGCCATAAGATACAATAGATAAGACAATGCACCATACAGTGCTGTGGCACTGTGACTGCTTGGCTTTATTGTTCTCTGTACGAGTAACAATGGAAGTAACCTAGCCAGCAGTAGTAATCTGTAGTGTTAGGTCCTTGGTCCTTCAGGCTCAGACTATTACTTGGTATTTTGTAGTACTGCGTAGTGTAGGCCAAACAATATGCTTGGCGGTTACGGTTAAAGATGGTGACTGTAAGAGCAAGCCCATGAGATTGAATGGGTGAAGGCAAAAAGACTGGAAAATACCAGAACAACGTGAGTGAAATCATTCAATAACCGGCGCTAAGAAAGCGAAGAGGCTAAGGATCATTTCTGTGTTCAAAAAACATTGCGCCTACGATTATAATAAGAAGTTGCGCCAAACTTTTTCACTACGCAGACACACAAATTGTGTATACACATGTGTGGCTAAGGATGGAGTAGTAGCGAGAGTCCATACCACACTAGTGGGGTTAACTTTGTTATAGGCCTAGGCCTACATTGTAATAACGTTAAGCCTACATGTCATGATGTGGTTCTGGATGTGTAACTTAAAACCCTTTCAATTTCATGCCTTTCCAACCAAAATTACCAAGCCCACTTTACACTTTTTGGTGTTTATGACTCATGAATTATAATTAGGGAGGACTAGGTCTAGCCTACATGTACATGAATCATTGAAATTGACGTGTGTCGGAAAAAGGCGGTTATACCCTTTCTTTTTAGTGTTAGGCAGGTGTGTCTTTTCCCGTCGTGCCTGTCATCAATCTCTAAACCAATGTCACTGTCGTCTCCTTCATCCTCATCATCTCCAAGGAGTTGATTTATTTGAAGAATATCTTGCTGTAATTGCTCCTCTTCTGCACCACTGTCATCATCCATTATTTATCAGGACAGGCCTAACGGACTCTTCTTCGTCTTCAAAATTTCATGCGACGTTTCCCGTGCGTTCCCGTTCGGTGAGAATTAACCTGGTACCTTTTATCACGTAAATTTAAAAATGTGTATGTGAGTGGGGAACCGTACTGTGTAGTGCGCCGCCAGTTGGCGGAGTAACATTCAACCATTCGGAGAAGAGGTTTAAAAGCAGAAACAGATCTAAACATGTACATGTAGCTTGCAAAAAGGATGGATAAGACGGGGATGTTTTGGATGGGCCCCATATTGTTTGGTCACAGCAGTATACAAATACAGCATCGTTTGAGGGGAAATAGTGGACAGGAGGTGGAAAGTTCTTTAAACAAATAAACTCTTATTCATCAACTCTGCTCATGGAAAATGCGAGGACAGTACTAACGAAATTGAGTCCACTCTTCTGTCTTCGGTAAATAAACATGGACAATTAAATGACAAATATCCGTGTCATGATTTATTCACGAGTCAATTTCCAAATATAGAAGTAATCTGAATGCTTATAATATTATGCAACATAGTATTATGCAACATAATACTCCCATAATATGTGGCTCTCCTTTTTTTACTGGCTTGACTAAAGACTCCCCACAATTATGCTTCCTTTAAATTTAATTGAAGAAAATGACGTCTGGTCTTCTTATTGCTAACAGTCGTGCGTGTGGATTTCTATATTTATTTATAGATTTGCAAGCACTTTTTTTCTTCAATTTCTAGTTGCACACTACAACCACGTTTTCGAAATAATGCGGTAAATTTTCCTCACAAAATATTAATAACACAAGTTGCTGGACTTCTTTCCACTATTAAAATCCATGCCATGAACCTGTGCTGCTTCCTGTATTGCCTTCCCCTGTACCATGGATCAAACTTATACAAGTACATGTATCTGACATGTTTGTCAGATTGATTTATTTCTTGCGGCGTGCCCTGGCTCGTTTCTTGGTTTTCTTCTGATCCATCAGCACCTGTCCCTGATGTTTGATGTCAGCATTGGTCATCATGTCTTCATTATCCTGACTGTCATATCCAAAGTCATCTACACGATTGAAAATAACTATATCTTAAATCAATGTCTACAACCGGTTAAATTCACTCGAGATAGACTACACTTTGTAAGCAACTTACATTCCTTGTTATTGATCTTCTTTTTAAACGCTTCTTAAGAGCATACACCGAAGTCTTTTCAACAATGAAGACAGGGAAGAAGTAACAGTTTTCAGCTCTTGATTATTTTATGTACTTAAAAAAAAAGTCTTAACAAGAACTGCACTTTAGGGGAGTGACAATCGGTAGATACTCTAATGGAAATAGTTTTTTTTTAATGAATCAAGACAGTCATTAGATGAATAAACTATACCTGAGTCGTTTGAATCGGGCTCATCCAAACGAACTCGTAGGTTTTCAGCCTTCTGTGTATTCTCCATGAATTCTTGAAACTGAAATAACGCAAATGAGAAATGCTTAGAAACTTATTATCACACCTTCAAAGCCTAATCTGTCTTGGGTAACTTTTTTACAGGTTTTATCACCAACTGTGGTCGAAGTTCGTGCAAGATTTTTGGCGTCATGACTGTCGCCTTGGTTATTATTTATTTATTTATTTATTTATTTATTTATTTTATTTATTTATTTTATTTATTTATTTTTTGTGTGTGTTGTTTCGTTTTGTTTTAGTTTTTCCCATTTAAGCAATGTATTTACCTCGGTACTGTTCATGACTTTCTTGAATGACGCACTATCTCGGACATTTGCTTGTGTCATCAGTTTCTGAAGTTTGTTTTCGCATATTTGTAGTTGGTCAAGATAATCACCCAGGTTGGCATTGTTGCGCATCGGCTGAAGGATGTAATGGAACAATCAATGTTAAAGCAAAGTGCATTAAAATTCTGGTGATGCTTTTTAATCTTTTAACTGGTAATTATTCAGGATTTCCACATAAAAAGAATACCGAGATAAAAATTACTGAAATAACAAAACTACTTTATATATAGGAAAGAGAAATATATCTCTAGAAAGGGCAGCATGCCCTCTTTGCAATCGGCCCTTTCTAGAGATTTTTTTCTCTTTCCCATAAAAAAGTAGTTTTGCTATTACAATAATTGTTATCTCGGTATACTTTTTATGTGGACACGCTGTACATTAAAAGATTGAAAAATACCTATTAAAGTAATACGTTTTAAAAAGGAAAATGAACTTACTGGTTTGAGTTTGATATCCTTGAGGGTTTCATAGACATGATGTATTCCATTCTTCACGTCAGTCAGTACCATGTTGTTCTTGTGCACGCTGTTACGTAGTAAGTCTCGTCTTTGTTCCGTCTTATTTAGATGTTCCTGCATTCTCTCAAGAAGCTGCTGGCCTCTATATTATCAGGACAAAAAGAACGCAATAGAAGATAGACTGATACAATTTGCAAATTGCAGACAAAGACTTTTACAAAGAGACGAACAACTCACTGAGACATCTTGCTCTCGCCGCTGTATTTCATCGCTTCATATTGCTGGGTCAGTTGACGTTTCTGCTCAGTCAGCCATTTTCGTTGTTTCTCCACGGTTTGTTTTTGAGCCAAGAGGTGCTCGTACGTGCCTCCCTGGTTCATAAAGCGCGCTTCTATTTCCTGTAGAGAGAATCGTTGTAAAATCAAGATAGAAATGATATAAGGCAGGAATTTTAGGAGACAGTTGAAGTTGTTAAGTTTTCCAGATAGAAATGTTCACCTCGATGTTGGACACCCCGGTAGCTTCCTGGATCCTCCTAAAAGCCTCTTCATACGTCGTGACCTTCACCCAATTATCCTCATCCATCTGTGACTGACGTTTACTTTCTGCATAACCATGACAAAAAATTGTCGTAATGTTAGTGAACATGATTTTGTAGTCAACTTGAATTTATTACACTATTATGAGTTACTTTTCATTATGAGCTACCTTGTGATGGATCATCTGCCTGGAGTGTAGCACGGGCTCGTTTCTCAATCTTGTCAGCCATTTCCTTCTGTTTATCTGCTTGTTTCTTCATTCGGGTTAGTGTGCGATCACGTGATCGTTTTGCTTCGATCATTGTCTGCTCCAAGACACTTAACTCTGCCTGTAAGAATAGCAATGTCTTAATTTCAGTTGAATGTCCAGGAAAAATTCGTATCAGTTTGTTTGTATTTGAGTTGTCATAAATTATTGTCTTCAGTATTCAATGAGCTTCAATATACCTTTGCCTGATCTCGCTTGATTCGTGCATCCTGACTGATTCCCGTCAATTCCCTCAACTCTTGTCGTTGTTCTTCAAGGGCACCCTCGAGAGCTTTTAGCCTTTTAGGTAGGCTTAGCCTTTCCTTTTATAAAAAAAAAGACAACAGCATGATTTAATGTCATCTTCATCATTCCAATAATTGTAAATGAATCTCTAGCGGCCTTTCCTGGGTGTTAAATTAACATTGTCATTTCTGATAAGACTTGAAGGTTTTCATGGTGAAAGAACTATATGAGTAATACGATTTTGGTTACTCCATGGATCAATCTCTTTCTTGAATACGTTTGGTTCTAAACTTGACAGTGTGTACTCTGTCCGTCTTCAGAAGACTGCGGGATTCTAACTGGGAGTGGAGCGTATATGGTGTAGAGAGGGATCCAGATGTAGGGGTTAGCTCGGTGAAGCGTTGAGGCGGGAACAGTGAAGGCGGGCACAATGGGTGCTGCACTGGATCCTGGCACTGCATGACCTGAGTGTGTGCTTACTCAAGTGTGTCAGTTGGGGTATGCAGTGGGAGAGTGAACAGCTGGGTGCCAAGGGTAGAGAAGACCCATGGGCTAACTAAGGAGGGAATCTAATTGGGGAGTCCTAAGGTATAGGAGACCTATTGGACTGGGATGTGAGGATGGGCGCCAGATATCGCTGAAGCCGATGTCTTGGGGAACTGTGTCATGCTTGATGATTTCTATGGCTTCTCTGATGCGGTGGGGATACCATCGTTCGATGCTGGTGATGAGTTCAGCTTGGCTTCAGTTGATCTGATGGTCTTCAGTGTGGGAGTACTTGATTATGAGCGACTTTTCAAGTTTTCCCTTCCTGCCATGAGCTTTGTGCTCGTTGATTCGGGTAGGGAGGTCCCTGCCCGTCTCGCCGATGTACACTTTGCCACATTGGCAAGGAATTCTGTACACCCCTGGTCTGCGCTGGGGGTCCTGAGCAGGTTGTGCAACTGCAGGGGGGGCTGTGTGGAAAACTCGAATACCATGTTGGGGAGAATGCGCTGGATATGGTGGGAAGAACAGCCAAAGTAGGGGAGGGTGATGGAACTAGGGGCCCTAACTAGTTGGCTTTGGGACCCTTCGGCCGGGGGTGGATCTGGGATCTTGGGACTTGGCTTGGCAAGTATCCGTTACGTTGCAGTCGGTCTGCTCCACCACATCACCGCAGCACTGCAACGTAACGGATACAAGCTAAGTCAAGATCCCAGATCCACCCCGGCCAGAATCACACATACTCAAGAAAGAGATTGATCCATGGTGTAACCGCAATTGTTTTACTCATACTGTCATTTCTGCTTACCTCTTCAAGACACCGGACAATCTCTAAGTAGGTCTGTTGTAATTTCCTTGCTGTTTCATGTTTGATTCTTGCTTTGTCCAGGTTGTTCTCTACCATACGAATTGTCTAAAGGAAATCAATAAAGGACTCTTCTATACCCATGCCTTCTTTCTTACACTGTTTCAGGTCTTAAACCTTAATTTTTAAAGGATCGAAGTCAACGTATTTGTAACGTGCCTTGAGGTCATATTGACACACATATGTAATCCGAGACTGGACAGTAATACAAATTATCCAAAATCTTGGGGAGAGGGAATCCGCAACCCAAGGTGCCCATAAAATCAACCCTGATCTTTTTGTTAATCATCTCTCCTTACTTTGAGATCATACTGCGCGTAGTTGTTATCGCTGTTCTTAGCCAAGAGTTCCAGTCTTGCTAATGCCGTTTCCAGCTCCTTGATTCGAGATTGTCGCTTCTCTTTTTCTTCCCTCAAGGAGTTCAGCTGCTTTTCCTTCTCACACATCTTCTGATCCATCTCAGCGATAGCATCCTAATAAGAAAAACAAACAAAAATCATTGTGGGATAACTTCATTCATAACTAACGTTTCCACATTACTGCATGAAAAGTTTGTGAAGGTGAGGAAACATTGGAAAATGATGTGTTCTAACCTCTGCTGTTTTTCTTCGAAGAGCCAGATTTTCGTCCCTGCGAGACATGAGTGCTTCGTGGATAACCCGCTCGTCTCCCTTGAATGGTTTTAATAGAAAAGAAATGACAATGCTTTAAAAAGATAATTTAAAACTTACAACCAAAACGAAAGACAAGAAAAATAAAATGCTCGTCAATTTTCTTACATGACGAGTTTGTTGAGCAAGAACCACTCTCTTTTCCTTGTTGTTCCGTCGAAGGGCTGCAATTTCGTCTTCATTGCACTGCTTGTCGACCTGAGAACTCTCATAATACGCACGGTGATCACGCTCTGAAGGGTCATCACATGAAAATACAATATTTTCCTTTAGATTTTTTTTTGGATGCTTTATTATAGTTCCCGAGGCCTGGACAGTGTCAGTTTAATATTACCTGTTTATGTTCTACCTTGGAGAAACTTTTTTTTTATTTTGAGAGTAAAAGATGAGACCCCAGTTGGATAAATGACATGCTCAATTATGACGACTCAATTACATTGCACAGCCTAATCTTTAAAAAAAATGAGGAGCGAGTTGCCCTTTGGAAACAGGAAAAAGTTCTAACTTGAATGTGAAAGATGTTTGCTGTTTTGAGAAATGAGTGTACCCGAATGAACGATTGGATATCAAACTCCAATATAAGGTATGGAAACAAATCTACAGGCGTGGGCCTAGACATTATTTCAACGTACCTTTTAGTGCTATTTTGCCTCTGCATTCGTCCATGTGATCATACACCGTCCATGCATTCATGGTGCTATCTTGGTTACTTGACGTCATGGTAAAAGTTCACAATTTAAAATTTCAAGGGGTAAATTTGTTAATATCGTTAATTAAGCAAAAGTGTGCTTCAGTAAAACATTGCAAATGGGACGGTATTTAGGCGTAATGCTCAGTTTCCCAGCCCAACACTGTCAAACGAAAGTTAACTAGTGTCTAATGTAAAATTATGTCTACTAACTATACACCAAATTATGATGATCCTAGAAGAAGGTCAAAGGATGTTTTGTTTGGGGATTCCATGCGCGTGAGTGTTTTTCCCGCACACCAAAGTGCGCCGTACACTGGTTCACTGAGCACGGTTCACGCGCAATACTTGGTCTCCATGGAGATCAAAGAGTGCCAAAAAAGATTTCGCCATGCAACCCAGCGCGTGAACCAGAACAATGGCTGGCATCACTCAGAAAAAACATAGAGCTATATATATAGACAGGAATATTCTTGTCGATATTCTGATCACTGTGCTACGCAGCCCTTCCATATTTCTTAGAGCTGTATATAGCTTTGTGGAAATTAATTTGCCATGGTGTCCAAATAAAAAATCTTAAATCTCTGTTTTATATCTATGACGTCAGCAGTGTTTATTGTATCTATGGCATTGATCTCCACAATAATGGAGATCACTGGTCTATGGCATTGTAACGCTGACACGCGTATGCCAATAGCAACGGGAAACAACCCTTCATAGAATCCTCAGTGTCTGCTCGTAAGACGTAAGCACACTCAAGGCGGACGCCGACAAACAATTTTTATTGCTTAAAGGGCCAAAGCTAAGCCCATACAAAAAGGTAAACCTTGGCCTTATGTGTGGCAGCATCTCTTTTGCATTATGCATTATTTTGAGGAAAGTTGAAACTATGATCTACGGACCACCAACATCGTTTAATGCAAACCAGGATCTTGTATAAACAGTGTGTAGGTTTTGAGGATCACTTTCGAAATTTGATAACAATGCATTGTCTCCCTAAAAGACATTAGTCAGAGTTAGTGAATGCATCCTAGCGCAATTCAGCTTTTGAGGGACGTTGTCTGAAAAACAAGGGTTGGGATTTCACAAATCTTAGACGGGTTTAAAGTATTAACATGAAGTTTAGGATTTCTTTCAAGACAGGGCATAATGCGCCTTTCGCATCTAAGACATAACTTTGTCTCTTGGTGTAGTCGACCGTCATTTTCACCCAAGTTTCACAAACGCTAACGTCGATTTCTCTGGGTTGTCAGATCTGATCAGCGTTTCCTGACAAGACTTGTTAAAGTACGTGTCGGAATGGATTTACTGGGCCGACAAAATACGAAGATGTTCCTTGTCATTCTTCTTGGTCTGGATGTAATATCAGGTAAGATTATAGTTTAGGCTTTAGGCGTCGTGTAAAGTTGCATTATAATACAAGCAATAATGAACTGTGTTTAGTATATTTCAGTCAATCTCCCTAACTTTTGAATTCGACTTTAGTGAAGAAAATGCTATTGATTTGATTTGAATTGATTTGATTTAATTTAATTCATTTCAGTCATAGGCATACCAGGGAACCATTTCATCGTAGGTTTCATGGAGAATGTTGAGTCCAAGTATTCTTCTCAGCTTGTGATTGGTGGAAATCCGCGCACGCCATCAAACGTCACAGTTACATGCCCTGGGCTAAACTTTAGCCAATCATTTGAAGTTGTACAGCTGGAGACATCATTTATTGAGATTCCCATAGAAGCACTGAACATAGGGACACATCTCAAGAAGAAAGGGATTTTGATTGAATCATCAGCAGATATTACCGTGTATGGATTGAACACAGCCAGTGCAAATTCTATGGATGGATTTACTGCACTTCCAACGAAGTATCTGGGAATAGAATATCGCGTGATTTCGACAAATGTATCAAATCTGCTCCCATCAGATCAAAGATGGAGCGAGTTCCTTATCATTGGAGTATTTGACAACACAGAAGTTGAAGTGCAATTCGTTTCACCCACAATTTATCAAAATGTGAGTTACAACGTCGGCGACTCTCTCGAAATAATAATGTCTTCTTTAGAGACATTCCAACTGCAAAGCCAACAAGATTTGACGGGAGCACGCATTTTTTCCAACCAGCCAGTTGCCGTTATGTCTGGAAGCAAATGTGCAAATATTCCAGCGGACATTGCGGCTTGTGATCATTTGGTCGAGTTCTTGCCTCCGACCAACAGATTTGGGAATGAATTTATCCTTTCAACTTTCCTCTCCAGAATGGCTGGTGATTATTTCAAACTGGTTGGATTAGAACCAAACACCACTGTAAAAATTGTTGCGCCTAGTATCAGTAATGTGACAATACAACTGGGTGCAGGCGACTTCTACACGCTTGAACTGCACTCTTTAGAAAGTGGTTACGTCATAAGTTCTCAGCCAATCACGGTAGCCCAGTACTCTCAAGGAGCGTTCACTGACGGTGGGACCACAGGTGACCCTTCCATGCTCCTTGTAACTCCTATTAACCACTGGCTGCAAGGTAACTCTGCACAAACAGTTTTTTCCACGTTTGACGTCACTGCTGACGGCCTTAAGCCTATTCAAAGCTACGTAACTGTGACGTCACGGTGTGAATTTACTACTGACATCATGATCGACGGCAGATCATTTTCTGTTCCCAAAGAGCTAGTTACGATCCATTGGTCCTTTGATGACGTTATAAATTTCTGTGTGTTGCGTTTTCAGCTTAGTCCGGGGACGCATATTACTTCAGCTGTGAATGCGGACGCCACCTTTGCAGCGTATGTATACGGATTCGGAAAGCATATCGCTTATGCTTATCCTCTGGGGTCACAGGAAACACCGCTATCATCTACACCTCTTATAAATAGGCCTACAACTACTTATAAGCCATTTCAGGAACATAGCACAATATGTTCTGGGGCAAACCTTGTCTATTGGATTGTTATAAGTTTCTTGATTGTAACTTTGTGTGTTATGGCTGTTTTTATAATGGCATTTTGGGGGAAGCTTAAGAAAATTACAACAGTGCAACCCTTGCAGGCTAACAAACCGCGTAACATCAACTGGAGGGCTTAAAAGAAATTGTAGCCTGTGTATTGAGCAACAAATCACGCCCAAGTTCCAATTCCGTATGTATTCAATTGAACTTCGTCTTACATACTCTCAAGCACGATTTCATTCAGTTCAAAGGAAACAATCATAGTACATTAATGCGCAACATTTATTTCGCGTGACACTTTCAACTGAATTACTTATTTGTCAATTACATGTTTGTTATAGCTTATTCTTAGCCTGTGTGTAGTGTGGGATGGGGGATGAGGGGTGGGGATTTGTGACTTGCCCGACCATGGAAATATAAAAACCGGGGGAGGGGCGGACTGACACCGCATGCAGTTATATAGAGGGGCAAGGTTCCAGATATAGATTTACATCTGTAATGATATATTACATTCATGGAGAATCTTACGTCAGGATGGCATTTTTATAGCTTCCCGGGGTATGGTTTTCCCTTTTTGAGATATTTTTAGTCGTTGGGAAGTCTGAAAAGCTAGCCCCCCTCCTACCTTAACATGTGTGGAGAGGTATACCCCACCTCCCGGGATTCATGCCCATGTCCGTGTGCATAGTAGTGAAAATACATAGTAACGTGACGTGAGTATGCAATTTAACTCATTATACCATTGTATCGCAGTTTAGTTAGATCGGTTTTTCTTTTCTCCATAGTAATAGCCTACTTAGGCCACGTGAAATTTGAACTTGAAATTAAATATAAAGCGTACTTTTAATACACCCGCAACATACAAAAGTGACGTCAATATTACCATGTGAATTTATTAATTACTTCATGGGAACTATGCATGCCCTATTTAATTCTGTAACGCCGAGTCAAGTCATTTAAGAAAGTGACACGCATTGAGTCATAAGAATAAGTCGTCAAGTCAAGAGATTTACAACCTGACTCGACTCACAGTGACCCGAATCGATTCATTTACTACTGGGACTCGACTCGAAACGAGTCTCCATTGACAAGAGTTAGACTCTATTCAAGCCACTGTCTGAAGTCATTGTAAGTTTGTTATGCACTCAGTGCCAGCAGCCTCCAGTTTGTCACTGATGGTGTCCAGTTATCACGTGATGCCGGAAAATATACGATAACAACTGCTACGAAAACACCCACATAAAACAGGATAAATAAAGAAAAATTAAAGTTAAAATAGAACACTGACCCAAATGCGGGATAACACAAACAGGTCCCGCTCAAAAAGACCTATAATTTACTCAAAGAATCCCCGCCACCATTGACAAGCCTCGAAATTAAACAGACTTTCACAGAGTAATTGATTTAAAGTTACAATAATGCTTCATAATTTACAATACTGTTTGAGATATTGTAGAATTGACAATATTGATTTTTTATTATGTTAGATAAGATTGCATTGATTTTGAATATTAAAGGTTCTAAAAGGAAAAATACTACATATCTGTCATGGCTACTTGCATTCCACTACGTAAAAATAATAAAATAAGATGACTGGATTAAAGAAATGTCTAAGACGCTATTATTTATAACATAAAACTAGAATAAGATTGTTCCCTACTGATTACATGTGTTATTTTGATTAATAAAAACTGACACGTTGGGCATTAATTTACAATCGATTTCTTCTATTGGAATCATTTGTCGGCTGATTCTCTCGAGCACTGGGATCGAAACACAGAGAATCGTCGTCTTCATCATTATCGACCTTAGTTGTAATGACAAAGCCATTGATACTGGTGGATGCACAACAGTCCCCACCGTCCCAGTTACAATAGGCGCGATTGTTAATCTGTTGACATATGCCGTTAGCGATGTCACTCTGAAAGAAGGAGAAAATTATCAATTAGAATCATGTAATAAAGTGCAAAAATCTGTTCCAATATGCGTTGTCAGGCAACATAGACACAATATTTCTTACGTTACTCTATTTCCTCACAAACGGTTTTCCACGAGGCCTATGTGATGGTTATAGTTGTAAATAAAGATCACTTACCTCTACACATCCCTCAACACATGTGATCCTTCTAGGGTCAGGGAACCACTGCCTTTGAGCAGTACAAGTTATCACGTGATTGGATTTGGTCCAATCACCATCGGGAAGGGAATATGAGGAAGAATTTGCAGTGAGTAGGACTGGCTCCCTGTCTGATCCATAGATTACTGGACAGACGGCAGTACAAAGAGAACCTCCATAAAGCAGGCGAAAAGGAAAAGATAATTAAAACCCAAAATTAGGTGATTGTTTTGTATTTTGTGAAGGCAGGCAGTAATGGAATATGTTCTGCAAGCAATATTGACAGCCTCCCCCTCAAACTCACAAAATTACCAATACTTTTTCACATTTTCAGATTAAAAATTCTAAGACTGCAACAAGCGTTGTTTTATGTAAAAGCTAAATAGCAGGTCACTGATGCTCCGACAATAATTCCTTGCACGTTTCTAAATATCGACGTGTTATTTGTTAAATTTGTTATAAACAAATTCATTCTGGCTTACCCACATCGTATCCATTTCCACACCTCAATTCCACATTCTTATTCCTGTTTGGTTCAGGGGGTTCACAAGAGCCTTCCAACGATCTGCATAACGTGAAATCCCCATCCCAATTTCCTGTGCTAGGATCGTGTGGATCTTGAATACATCGAATTGTATTCACGACCTCCAAGGACAAAAAATATTAAAAGGCTTACATATTTTAATGGATAGCCACTAAGAAATGAATTTTGCGAAAAATCTGATGGACGGTATTGTTTGAGGTCTAAAAGAGAGCATACACTGTGCAACACTAACCTCGTGTCCCACGTCACCGGTGACATCATCACAACTCAGACTACATACGCTGTTATAATTGAATCCATCCGTACAAGTGTAGAGATTGTTAAATACCATTGGAGGAGGATCACAAGTAATAGGTTCACAAGACGGTCCAGTCCAAGTGGCATCTTCTGTGCATTTATACTTCAACTTCTGTGGTTTTCGTCTGCTAAACACCCAAAAAAGCAAAGTTTTTTTCTTGAGTCAGAATTTAACTAAATGTTCTTTTTTTTTAACCGAACAACAAAAACCACTCAACAATGCACAGATTGTGGACACAAATAAATTGGTTAATGTTGGAAAACATATATTTTAAAAACAGTAAGTTTTATGATGCATTTACAATTTACCTTTTGGCGGAATGTCCACTCGCATGATAGCCCACGTCACATCGAAATTTGCAGACCGTTCCAATGTTATGACTCCCAGTTTGACATTGCTGGCTGATGAGCATGGCATTAGGTACGTATGGAATATCACACTGAAGTTTACAGAATGCTTCGGGTAATGAGTATAGACCATCTGCCATACATGTCAGCGTCTGCACTGTGCCTGATGAATGCAAATATTTAAACCGTTTATCAGTTGTTTCTTGTAACCACGGCATCTTTCTTGTGAAAAGTTGTTTGAAAATGAATTTGTGAATAAACAAATAGCTTGCCTACCTTATTTTCACTTGAGCCGTTTGTTTGGGGATAAGGCTCAGTTTAGGATGAATTCATCAATAAATGCAAGCAGTCAGAAATGTAAATCATATATTAGCCAGAGATCGTATTAGTTTTAAATGCTATTCAACATGATTTCTTGTAAAGACTTTTACCTTGTAACTTTGCTGGTGGTGTACACTTCAGTTTACACTGCCTGCCAAATGTAGTGCCCATTGGACACACGATTTCTGCATATGGCAGTGACGGTTCTCCACAGTCTACGGCCTTGCATATCATGTCAGGACCACGCCATTCCCCATCCAAACACAACATCTATAGAGCAGCATTTTTCAAAAATATTTCTATGATAATTTAACAGTTAGTAGTGGTGGCAATCTACAAGAGGCACACTCATAGATTGCATTAAAGGGAAAATTCATGATCCTTTTGTAGTGATTAAATGTGATCGGTTTTTATCCATTTATCCGTACCTCAACGTCTGTCTGCATTCTGTCCGTGCTATAACCTTCTTCACAGTTCACTCTGCATAGATCCCCTTCCCTGTGACCACTGCAATTAACTACTGCATGAGGAATGACCAGTTCCTCACATTCTGGCCAGGTGCACGTATAAGACACACACTGACCAGTGGACGGATTGAATAGCTGACCAGGAAGGCAAGATGCGATGGTTAGCGGGTCTAGAGACGCCGAAGACCGTAGTCGAACAGCCGAAATAGCAAGTGAGAAAGAGCTCAGGCGAATCCGTACCTGTCAAAATATGTCATACAGTAGACACAGAGCACAGCCCATCCAAAAATTTGGTCATAATTTATTTATTGTGATTGTATCTAAAACTTTTTATCAGCCTATTGTTCGGTCTCCTTCAAAATGTTTCACTTATATTGTATTGCACTGATATCCATTTTGTTTTCCACAATAGTACAGACAGGACAAATCCATTATTATTAATAGTATTATTAATTAGAAAAATCCAGTAAGAATCATTTCGTAATTAATTACCTCCTTGGTGTGAGAAAATGGGGTATTCAAGTCATGGGTGATGTTAAAATGTACTGGGTTATCCTGACAAGTCACCGAACGATTAGTAAATGGTTTGCTGTGTGTTTCACCGTCAGGCCTGATGAGCTCAATGGAAAGCCGAGTAGGTTCAAGCCTAATACCATCGGCCGCCAAGTGCACGATTACGGCAGTAGCAACGACAGGTTTGTGAAATCGTACCTGGAAGATAAAATCATAGATTACTATTTATTTAACAGGTGGATTCATCGCAATTGCATTACATGTAAACTTACACAAAATGATGAATCGCAAATTGTGCAAAAAGGGGAGCAATTTCTATTTCTTACACCTTTGAAGGTATCCATTTGACTAACAGGTTATGGCATATTAAAATGAGTCTTCTCTTCGAATGTTGAGTTCGTGCCGTCTGGATGAAGAAGTGTGTTACAACCCCTCTGACCTGACACTCACTAACCACCATGAACTGGACAATGCCACGATATCGCTTAATTAAGAGCTTCATTTTTGCTCTGAATGAGGTTTAAACTTACCCTAACCCAGTAGTCTCCACTTCCCTGATAGAGGTCAAGTGGGTACCATCCGTGACTTGTATCCACATCCGTCGTGCATTTGGAAGAAATGGCGGGTCCAATGAGAGCACTCACGGGATTTTCTTTGCTTTGATACATTGGATTGGCAACTGCAGTTTCTGCCCATTGATCTTCAAAGCCAGGCTCCGGTAGGTAGACATCGGTGGAATGTTGGAACGTCAAATGGTAAACATTCTTAGTTGAAATGTGACTGCAAATACTGGATTCACCTGAGTTGAGAATGAATGCTTTTTGATGGGCTGTCAATGTGTAAGAATCGTGTCGAAATCACGATGAAATGCTCAAGATCATCATTGCAATCATAATTGTGATCGCCATTGTCAATGTCGTGATTTGTCGCCGTCATGCTTGTTGCCATGGCCTTGTTACCGTATCAAAAAAAACCCATTTTCATCTTCAACATAAGTACACAATCAAAACCGCCGGTTTCAAACATTTCAATCGTCACAAATTCAAGGAAGGAAAATTTACGGGAGAATTTTATTCATCACTACCTTTGCAGTCATAGAAATCTTCAACTTTGCAGTCCAAGCTACACCCATCTCCATCTACCGTGTTCCCATCGTCACATTCCTCCTTATTACTTCTGCGTTTAAAAAAAAGCCAAAGTTAAAGCAATAAAAGAAAATGTCCACTAAAAACAAAGAAAAGCTCAACCTATGAATTGATTTACTAGCTCAACAAATAGCTTTGCGTTCTACAATCACACACCTTTCGCGATGTCCGTTACCACAGAATGCTTGGCCATGGCGATGGCGTAGTGATGACGTCAACAAACTACTTTCCTCACCTCGCACAGCCTGAATCCTATACGAATATGTGACGTTATGGTCAACGTCACTTTAGAAAGGAAGAGAGCTATTTAAGTTTTCGGTTTGGGGTAATTGTTTCACATTTGGGCATATTTTGCTTAATTACCGTTGATAATTATTTCTCACAAAACATCATGATAAACAATTAGCACTTATTACTCATCAACAAAGACAGTTGTGTGCACAATTCGATTGTTCTCCCCGTCTGAGAAAGGTGGATCTCGCAGAATCTTGTAGTTCATGAGTGGACAGTCATTACATCCATGCCAATTCTCAACTGACACCAACTGTACGGCATCCAAGCTGAAATAGGGTTCATTTGGATAGACACGGATGGCTTGGACTTTCCTGCTGATGTGTGTCAGACGTACAGTGAATGGCATATCACAAAATGCCTGTATGGGTCCTAGGGATTCGAAGCTACCATCTCTGAACACCAACTCCAAATTTCGTACGGCCATTTCGGTTTGGAGGTAATTGGTCCAAAGAATTAATTCATACGGAGGGACGGCGGTTTTGAATCCAAGCTCGAGATAACAATTGTCACATAAAGCCTTTCTATGCACTGGCATCCAGGAATTTTGAGTAGGAGCACACGTCACACCAGCATTGGGTGGACCTTCAACAAAAAAGGAATTCAAAACACAAACATGAGCAAAACAAAACAGCAAGAGAAAAAGGCCTATAAACAAAACCGAACAAATCAGAATATTGTTATTAGAGCAATGGATAAAGTTTATAATTATCAGCTTTAATTTTTTTCCAGTACGAATAACTCTGCAGCAAACGTGTGTTACAATGTTTTTATATTCATTTAAGATTTCGTCTCCAAACTATACCTATTGCTTCATCAGGAGAGTAATACAATGAATACACCCTGGACGCTGGGAAGAAATTAGCTGAGCTTGCATACTGCACCAAACGATGCCCCTCTGAACATCCAAAACAAGCCTCGTCCTGGGAATATTTTGCATATTGAGATACTGGTGGAAACCAGGAGATGGTGGTCGAGTGAGGTCGCTCTGAAACAACCCGAAGACCAAGTGGTGTACCAACAGATGACAGAGGTGTAGTCTCTTGTTGGAGCCAGGCTTGGTAAGTCAGATCGATGTAGCAGTGCATGCGAGCACTCTGATGTGCCGTGAAGTGGTCAGTACATTCCGCATCTAAGCATAAACTTTAAGTTACTTTAGAAAAAATGTACACGTCTCAAGAAGTGACAGTTTATTGCAGTTTTCACACCCTTATTTCATAACCAGTAGGACTACCTTCGCAATATGTCTCTTCGTTAATTTGAACAGAATCAGACATGTACGCGCGGGTACGTTTGAAAAGCCAGTTCGCGCCTTTTTAAAACACAGAAAAACCAAACTTAAAAAGTGCGAATGAGTAATTAACAAACATGTACTTGAAATCTTCACCATGTCACTGATATTATCACATAAACGATTTCGCTGGAGAAGTCCTAAGTTCTTTTTTCCGGGTGTGAAAAGTTAGTTTGCATGAGAGAAAAGGCCTTCCACAACAGCTGCGCAGACAGCTTAATCCCTCAGTAAATCCTTGCAACTTTGGCATTGGCCATCATTTGCCATGTGTTGATTATTTCCTCGTCATAAGACGCTCGCGCTCAGGTGATAAAGGGCGAACCTATAGACACAAATACCGGATTTCCTGTAACTAATTAAGTATGGCCAACAGCACGCTGCATCAAGACGGTGGTTAGATATTGTCTGTCAGCAGAACACGATTACAGAGGGTGAAACAGCAAAATATGACAAAGTCATGGCCCGGGTTAGGATTACACAGACTAAGTTTAGCAAGACGACTCACTATACCGACAAGGAGTCGGCGTCACTCAAAAGACTACTGAAAATTGGCTCTGATGGTGGCTTTGACCCGGTGCCACAAATGTTTAAATATCGGTTAAGTCACCTTATGAGTTAATGATGTCATCGAACACACTAAAAACCGTTATTAGTTAGAGATGTTTCTATAACCAACAAGCAAAGGGAACAAACCCGCATAACTCATGAAATTTTTGTAAGGAGTGTCTTCGAATTCGGTGTCGCCTAAGCACGTTTCTGTGTCGCATGGCCTTGGATCCCTGAAGACATTGGAAGAAAAAAGTACAATGCATTGAATTTGTTCCAAACGTGAATTGAATAAATTACACACAGTGGAATGAACACGACAGGGTCCACACCAAATGTTCAGTATAACGATCGTTCGGTTTGTAACGGGGCCGTCGGCTATGTAGTTGTACTCACACTAGACATTATGGGTCTCGGAGTTGTAAACTTATTACCATAAGTGAACATCTCAGTAATAATATGCAAGCTACTGGGGAGTGGAGACACAATACAGGTTCACTTGACCGTGCTTCTGCGGTATTTTAATCGTAACATTTACAACCATTTTTCACTCACCTGCAAAATCTATTTTCTGGCGTAGGGTAAGTATCTTCAACCAGATCACCCAATACACTAGATGATGTCCTTTCTCTGCATTTGTTTCCACATTCCATGTCTTGATGTACATGCAATAAACCGAGATTATGCCCCAGCTCATGGACAATGGTTTCTGAGGGGAAATCGGATTTGCTTATATCTCCTTGTAGCACAGTTCCACCTGCAAAGAATTCAGTATCCAATTCCGTTTTATCATATTATGTATTTACCCTGCAACCAACGAGAATGAAAATTGCCTGCAATGGATCAGTGCTGCATATGGTTTTACAACAAGCAGTAGCTATTTACTTGATTTGACTTCAAGATTCCGTAACTAACCGAACTGTCCAGGCACGTCCATTTCCCAAGGTAAAGTAGCCACGCCTTCGATAGTTGGATCATCAAAGTTGACAAAGAACACATTGAGATGCGAGTCCGATTCCATGGCGAATGTACCTTTAAGCTCACCAACTGTCAGGTAATTCCTAAGCAAAACATTAAAAAACAGTTTCGTAAAGGTGCATAATAGGCTTCCCAAGTCGCAGACGGGTAACAAATATATGACTTCGATAACTTGCCGCACAAGGATCAAAGATTATATTCCTGAAAGAACCATTCCAACTTACCTGTTTGAAGAGCTTGGATCAAAGCAGGTGGCTGTAACATTAGTTACAATTGGGTTACAGCAGTCTCCTCCATCATATTCATTGTGCGCTGTATTGCATGAACTTTCACATACACCATTTCCTACAAAATCAAAGATTTCAATTTTAAATTTTTTGCAGGCATTTTAATTTTGTTTTGTATATTTATTTTTGATTAATTTTTTCAAAGGTGAGCGCATGTTATTTGTGCATTTTCTTAATTATTATTTTTTGGACAATTTTTTTTTATGATACCAAACCTGTAAGTGGCAATTTACACTGTTTGGTCTTGATAGCTATAAATATACTTGTGAACTTGGACTTGCTAATATTGTTGTCCGTCTGTCTGTTGTGTGTCTACCTACCTAGTTGCTCATCCAAACACTGCTCCCTTTCCAATTCATCGATACAATCTCCACCATCATAACCAGTCAGCTCATGGTAACATTCTTCATCACAATATCCATCTCCGATATTATTAGTATCACAAATAGCAAGGACCGTGCGATACCTTAGTGAAGTGTTCCTCCATACAAATGCTGTCAAATTCCACGAGATGTTATGGGGACTGAAAGCTTCCCTTATCATGTTATGTTTACGAAATATGGATTCTGTATCAATGATGGGTTTAATCCCATCGTTTTCTGCCATCGTGATGGCCCTATATTTGATTGTTTTGTGAGTTTGGAGCTCTGGTTGATTAATGTAGCTCTTAGCAACAACAGGATGGTCACAGACCGTTATACCACACGATGGTATCTTTAAGTTAGCATCCAAGCCACTAAGCTTAGAAGGGACACCAGATGAAACTGCCAACGGTTCATTCTCAGCTACTGCCTTCCAATTCAACCATTCGCCATCAAAATTTTCCTGAATGACGATACTACTTTGGACAAGCGAACTTGGATCTGGGAATTGGTTATATCTAAGTTGTCGATGAGAACGAGCTTTAGGCAAAATAGTGATTTGATCAAGGGCTCCACGAAATCCGTTTTCATCATTGCTGCTTCCCCCGATCATTAGTTGTTTACATTCACGCATAACTTCACTGAACATTGGCCCTCCTGTGCTTATGCCTGCGGCTACCTGTGTGAAAAAATCGAATAAGATGAAACCTCATTCGTGACTGTATATGCCTTGTTGCTTCAACTGTCTTCCTTGTGCCTTTCATAAGTGCAAGAACATTTAATGTGATTATATTTTGTGTTACCTTGGCACCATTGACGTAAAGATTCAAGCTTCTGCCATTGTATGATGCTGCTAAGTGTGTCCACATTTCCTCTTCGTATCTGCTCGTACCTTTCATAGTACTAGAAAAGGGGGAGCGATCTGTTGTAACTGAGAAAAAGTACCGTGCGTCTTCTCTCGGTTTATCTTGGTCAGTACTGATGCCAAGAGACCAAGTCCAGTGATGACCATTACCTCGACAAGTGTCCAGTAAACCTACAATACACACGGATAGTTTGAGTCGGGATTAACAAGAATGAAAAGTGGAAGTCACGTTAAGAAAAGGTGCGTGATGAACCACAATACAATTTTAAAAGTACTTTTAAAGAATCGACCTGCGTTACTTCCTTTTTAATGACAAATATCAAGGTTCAGCAATTAGTTCTTTATGTCCTTGATCAGGAAAAGAAAATATAATTACTTTGAAATTTGGTAGTAATTTTAAGAGCACATGGCAAATGCACAAATGTTATTGTCTGTAGGTTCCGGGAGATTAATTCTGGTTGGCAGTGTGTTCGTGCTTGTTCGCGCGAGCATGGAACAAATTGCATACGTAGAATGGAAGTATGATTAATTGCGCACGAGCAAGATTGTCAAGGAACTTAGATTCACTGGGCTGCGGGGGCGTTCCTGCTCCCGAGATCGGTAATGGTAAAATTGTACCCATGGAAACCAGGCTCATGGTGGCTTTCGATGGTCACCCATTCACACATGGGTTTTTTTGTACGCGAAAAGGGTTGTCATTGATGGGGATATTGGGATTAGTACCAAGTAGTTGGTTGGATGTTTGTCCCTTTAATCGCTTGGGTTGTCCAAAGATTGTTGGTGTAATCGAGCGGTTAACTGGATAACACTTCCGATTAAGTGAAGGCCAGACAGTGAAAGCCTTGGATATTCTAGGACAAATCTTAATCTAATCCTATGATTACTTTTGACGAACAGAAACATTCCTGACCATTTGAAGGTTCGGAAGTATCTTCTTATAAGGGTCACTTGAGCCTAAAATAGTTTTTTTCTGACAAAGGCATTTCTGTATTGACTATAGATTATCTTTCAGAATCACTCGGGGGAAATCTTCAAGATATTTCACCTTGTGCACTTATTCATATGATCAATAGCTTTAGCTCTTTCATTGGGAAGATTACCGAAGACACAATATCGATTGCAAACAAAGTGAAATCACACGATTGATAATCTTAAGACGTTTTAAAGGATTAAATTAATGAAGCATGACCAATCCGCGATTTTTGTTCAGAGCATTTTACAAGAGGACGAGTATTTGCCCTTTTGAAAAGATCACAAGGGTTTTAAAACAGACTGATTAGGATATATTCAACCATCCGAACGGCCCGGTACCTCAACCTGTGACGCTTTATTAATCGTCTTTGTTACCAGGAAGAAATATCAGGGCATTGGAGGCTGCTAGTGTGATTTTGGTAAACTATTTGTTCGTCAGAAGTCGCCAATCAATAGCAAAAAAAAAAAAAAAAAAAAAAAAAAAGACCGTGGCGCGGCGGGAAACAACTTTTAAAATGCAGGTTGACGATTGGCTAATGTATGCAATGTTTTGGATACTCTGGGCTTGCAGCTTCAAATTGGTTGATTTAGATTGGATAGAACGCCGCCATGTTTCTGCAGATATTTGGTGAAATGCTAGGTCACTTTGGAATATAGTAATTAACCCGTTTGCCTGACTGAGGGTGATTTGTAAATCAATCCTTACCAAAACGTGAGAGAGAGAGAAAGAAAGAAATACAGTTCTAAAGTATGCAGCACTGTCTTATCTTTAAACAGAATTTCGAGTAAATCAGTCTTGGAGAGTTGGAGAAACTTTAAAACTGCGGTGAAAGTACGACTTAATAACATCAATCAACTACTATTAAATCCAGAAGTTACCTCGATAATCGTAAATGATATTGCCTCAAAGAAATTTTGCGAAGGTAATGCCCGCCTGCTGGAAAGGGCATTGACTTTACAGAGTTGTAAACCCAGGAATGACTGGACATAATCCGATATAAATGTCACGCGATGCAAACCATCATGCCTAGCCTCAAGAACTTGACCCGGGGACTAAGGTCGAGAGAGCCCGCACGTAGACAGCGAAGGTCAGTCCATCGGCTTCCTTGGTTCATGCCGAGAACTTCCCACAAACATGTGTCTCATTAACCGCAATTTCTCGGAAACTTACCCAAACTCAGTTAATTGGAAATTCTCTGTAGTTGAAATCACAGATACAAGAGTACTTAGGAATTTCGTGTATCCAAAAGTAAACACGGTTCATTTATATTTTACATTTAAAACTTTTTATACTTTATTAAAAGAATGCAGAGTGACAAATATTATTTTATCATGATGTCTTATCACATACAAAAGGTATGTTGAATCCTCTTTCATGAAGCGTCTAATTTTTCTTCTGGATTAGTAATTCCCTGTCAGGCCTATGTTGGTCGAACAAAGTCATATTGAACAAGAATCCCTTTAAAATAAAAATCCTCTTTAAATAGCTTGAACACTGTCGATGATTGAATTTTCTTGTTAGTTAACCAAAAACAAACTTATTGAGTTTGGTATGAAAAAATCTTTATGACTTTTAATCATCACAATCCTCTGAACCGAATTTTTTTCGACGGAAATTGAACGTGACAGCCACCCTCAAGGAGAAGCTTGACAAACATCGATGACCAACAATCTCCGCGAGGGAGGTTCTCCTGACACCGTGACGCTCTGGCCAACCTAGCAATTATCCAACTGCCTTGAAAAAGCCAGTTCCTGTGGGTGAGTTGTGCTTGGCTACACGACAGCAACTATTTGAGATTTTTCTTATTAGTTATCAGCACTCGTTAAAAATTTGCAGTGTTTATTACTTCGATCACTCTCAACCTAACCGGAAAATGATCGCTGGATCCACCGGAAAATGGTTAATTTTTACAGGAAACATTCTCCGTATTGTGTTGAATTCCAGAGACAGTATAGAACAAAGGCATTCGACATTTTGCGTGTTCCAGCATTCAAGTTGTGCTGGCTGAAGAGAGCTTTGAGAAAAAATACAACAAAATATCTCTCCTCACCAATTATAACAGCAGGGCTCTTCTGTCCGCCAGCTGGTTTCACCCAGAGTGCAACCGAGAACTCCATCCTAGGAAACTGAATTTGGTCTTGCGATAATTGGTATCGTAGAGCGTCTGCATTCCCGGTGAAGTATACAGCTGAGCCCGTTGAGGGCACGTCTCGCTGCTCCCGTCGGTGTTCAGATTTCTTGGACAAGTCGTCAGCGAGTCTTGCAAAACGAAACTCATCTTTGCGTTGGGGTCGCTTAGTCGAGGTAGCGCAAAAGTGACGGCCAGATTTGTTGCTGGTAGTGCGACGGACATGACGTTTATCATTTCCAGCGTTGGACAATTCCTGTACTATGTGTTTTAGTCTTAAAGTCTCATACCTGGGTTTCCGACCGTAATTTTCATTCTCTGACACAGATGCGAGGGAAAAGCCCAGGAAAAAGACAATCAACAGGACGAAAAAGTTCAAAACAGAAACCATCTCGACACCAACGCACGATTGCTGACGGACACATTTACTAAAAGGTTTCTTCAATTAGTTGAAAGGCGGCGGTTTTATAGTGGCTAAAAAAATCGGTTCAAACTAATTAGCATAGTGAATTTCCTTCGAACCAATCACGTTCTTGTTGCATTAAGATCACTGAAGTTCACCCCGCAGGGCGGCATGTGACTGGAGCACTAGCCACGAAACTCGTGATCATACCAAAAGGATGGATTACTCCGAAACGGTGAATCTCCATCTCCCTTGAGTAGGTTATGATTTGGATAGGGTGGCAACTTTTATATTTTCTCGTATAGCTGCAGTCCAACGCTAATGTTATAATCAATTTATAGGTTCAATACTACGATATCCTTCTCTGGGCTTCGGTTTTCATGGAAGTTCTGAGAATGAGGTTTCCCTGAGGAATTTGTAATTCTAGGACATCTCTAGAGAAAGTGAATTCTTATGTATCCGTGATTGTGAGTCTTCTAAGCTTCCCTCACACTTCGAAGTCATCAACACAGGAAGAGTACCTTGACGACGGGTCAGAGACCGCTAAGAGTGGCTAGACCTTGATACCTTTAGTGAATATCCCACGCTAAGCTGGCTAGAGGGATTTGAAGCTCAAAGAAGATGATCTCAACAAGAGGCCACTTACGAGAATTACTTCACACGTCTCAAGTCATGCACATTAAATCAAAATTTACACAACCTGTTACTACACAATAAACTTCACGCAGCGACCACCACGGTGCTCGTTTCAAAACAAGTGATTTATTTGCGAAGTCCTCTTAATGCCCTGTGAGCTAGGCTGGAACACTGTGTGTTGTTACATCATCTTCAGTTCTCTCTCGCGTACATTCAAAATCTGATCGATAAACTCTCGTCGTATTTAAGTTACCGGCACTCCAAATCGAAGCCGGAAGCCAAAGGGGGCACAGACCTAGTATACAATGAATGTTAAGCCTCTCTACAGCATTTTTCTTTCAACGAAAAGGCAGAAATTCATAACATTCGACATCTGCTGAAACGTTTTATTCCAGCATGCATTAATATATTGAATACAGAGGAAACCATCCAAAATCTTACAATTTGAATTTTTTCAAACAAATTGCAACTCGAACCAACAATCTTTACATCTCGGTTATGAAGCGTCTTCGCGTTGAGGGCGCTTCTTAATCAATCTCCAAGTATTCATTTTCGTCCACTTTCTCATACTCCTGTGAAGACACCCTGAGAAAAAAATCATACAGATTAATGCGGGTGATTGTTGAAGCAATTTCGTTCATTTATTGATAGAGTTCACCTGTTACTCTAACTTCACGGCTTACCCATTTTCAGTCTTTGACTTGGACGGTTTTTTATCCTTGGTTCCTGGAGGAGGAGGTGGGTCTCTTAACCTTCCAATCTCAAGTTCCTCTGATCTGCAAATAATAATATATCGCTCAAGCACATAACAAAGCAAACACAACATAAACATCAAAAGTGGCATCACGGGGTGCTACTTGCACTTGTATAATTTCAATACAATTTCAATATTCATAAACAAGAAACTCCACATATGATCTAGATAGCACTGTATAAGTTGTGTACCGTGGTTGATTTATATCTGCAGGATCAACGTAGCCTTGGTCACTGCCCTCCGATTCAGCCATCTTGTGATTTTCCTGTTTTTTCTTGGAACTTCCAAATCGCTTTTTTTCCTTGTCTGATTTCCTTAAAACATATTGTAAAAATAGTTTTAAAAGGAAGAAAGTTTAATTGATACCACAAATTGTATTCGTTCAAAATTGCCTCTCACGAAAATTTCTAATTGACAGTTTTGAAAAGGGCCTGCTGCAGTCACATTTAAAAGAGGGTGTAATTTCATTAGCCAAATAACTATAAACTTATCCCATTAGACGCCATAACTGCGGTGGCAACTAGTGATGTCCATTATATAAACTGGATAAGACATCGCGTCCAAAACATGTCCTGCGTATGCGTATTTTCAGGAGGGTAAATAACGACCGTTGCGAACTTCGTTGCATGTACTTTGCTTCAGTCGTCAGATTTCGAAGAAAAACTGAATTCTGCACTTGAAATGGATAAATTTGGAATGAATTAGGGTTGAAGTGCACGCAGCAGTGAATTACCGGAGATCAACGTCAAGTTTGGAAGAAGGAACAGAAGGATAAGTACGACTCACATATATGTGAGTCGCACTTTTTCAGTTTCAGAAAGCTTCTCAAGTTGTACTCTATAATGCTTAACTTTAAGCCTATATAGGCCTAGTAAGAAATTTATGACTGTCTATCTAGCCTATTAGGCTTTGTATATGAAACTTCACTATCTTGGAACCCAAATCGTGTGACAGACGATGTGATATGAATGACAGAATTCTTCTTCGGGGCAGAGATGAAATCAAAGTGAAAAGCAGAATGCTGACGTTTCTGTTGAATGCAGTTACAAACAAGGGAATTCAAAGTCAACGCAATGAAAGAAGATGTGTCTACATAACAAAATTATTCGTTCTCAGTTAAAACTGCCTCTTTTATGCCGGAAAGTAGTTGTTAAATGTAAATCTTTCAGTCAGGTTGTGCACTTATTATTTTAAGCTGATTGATAAGTGTCTGTTTAAAAACAGTAGTAAGTTAGTTTGGTCGCTTATTTAAAGCTGCGCTCACTTTGTGCTCACAGAAAAGATTCTCACACTTCCGTATGTCGCATGTCGGTTTTAAATAAAATGTAATCAAGATATGAATGAATTTTATTTACTGCAATTTTTCCTGAAAGTGTAAAATTGAAATCATTTTATTGATGTTTTTTCAGTATTGGCTCATCGAACCAGACGGAAAAATACATGGACAGTTTGGACATCATATTTACTGACAAAACCTATTGCATGTCCCAGTGGAATTCTCAAAGTTTTACACACTGAACAAATCACGATTGAACCGACCCAAAGTGAAGATATTGCTAAAGCGAGACCGTAGACAATAGGTGTAAAAATTAATTAATAACAAACACACAAAAAAGGTTAACATTATCGCTTCCAAGTGGGTTAGTTAATAAGAAAATGGTCATTTTTTTCCGGAAATTATATTCTTGCATTTTCTGTTTATTTTTGGCTCGTTTTCGGGAGGGAGGCCGAGGGCTTAGCCATCATCCCATGAGAAAAAAAGTTATGTTGACCAGAAATGCACGGCATATAGCATCACATTACTCTCCTGAAGCACCGCCATTGTTCGGCCGCACATTTTGTGCACAAGCAATGCGCGATGTCCTATCCAGTCTATGGACGGTGGCACAGCACTCGGCTTGACGCGCGCGTGCTTTTGGCAATTCACGACAACCTATTGGCCGAATAGGCATGTAACAAGCGCGCGTATCACCTGCCCACGAGTGTTGTGCCACCGCAGTAATGGCTTCCAGTTCTGGTTGTCGAAATGCACAATAGAGATCACAGGATAAAGCTACAGGTGTCAGGCCTATTGTTTGCGCAGGAACAGGGCGACATGATCTTCTATTACGCTGCCATGTAACGCATGAGGTTCGTCACATCTATTGGTCTCCATTGTAAAGACTTTATGATGCATATATGGAGATCGATTGTCACATCAATTTAAATGCGCCTTTCGCGTATACGCGTTGGCGTCCGCGAGGTTCCAAGTTGTTTGTGCGTAAATGCAGCAATTTTACGTGCCCCGCGTCACCTCTAGTTCTGAGAAATATGGAAGGGCTGCGTAGCACCGTGATCAGAATATCGACAAGAATATAATATCAAATCATATTTCAGAGCACTGATTTGATATTATATTCTTGTCGACCTCTAGTTCTACTTATTATGAGATCTACGATTACAACTAAAGCTAGTCACGTGCACGAGAATTCACAGACGAGAGATTTTCCAAGGAGAATACAGTGTTCCAACACCCCCCACTACCATACACCATCCATCCATCACAGTACTTACGACGTCATGATGACATAGCTATTTTTAGCTGTAGCCTTTTTGCCCTGAATGCCGTCGACGTCCTCATAAAGATGTTCCTCGTCATCAACTTTGCCTTTACTTCGGGGTCTAAATATAAACACAGGAGGATGATCAGCGACATGTACTGCAGTTCTTCAGCGTGTAGGTCTGTTGATTACTCAAGGGAGTTTTTAATTTCTTGTAGACTTCAAGAGATAATCTAAAGTATCAGACGGGCGTTGTAGTCTTGCTGGAGTCATAGCCGTCAGAGAAGGTTCATGTGAATATTTTGAACTCCTTCGGCCGATGACCGCTTCGCTATCCTACCATCTAGCAAACTAACTTATTTCCGAAAAATTTTAGGAAAAGACTGATTATAACGAAAAGAAATAAGAATTTTGAAAGTCACTGGTCGGCACAGGCTTTACAGATATTTTAAGATGGGCGCATGCTTTACATACAGTGGTTCGGGTGGACGCTTCTTGTTTTTCTGTTTCAACGACGACTTTTTGTTAACTTCCCTGCAAAACAGAAATCATTTCAAAAATTAAACATGGTCCCGAAGTACCGAAGACCCTGAGTCAATAGAAAGACTCTCAGGCCCCAACGACATGTTGCGAGGAGCAAAATGATTACTGGCGTGCATGGTACCCTACCCTGTTACTGCTCACTAAATAAGGGTTGCCGTCAAAAGTTAACTGCACCATAGCTGTTACAAATGCGGGAATGGCACGTAATGCACCACTAAACTCGCTCTACTTTAAATTAATCAACTGTATTACCACCATGAATTCCATACTCACTTAATTTTTGGTAACAGGAAGTTTTTGAAGATGTATGCTCCTCCGATCGTCACAAGTACTAGGAAAATGCCAACTATGATTCCAATAATCAGGAAAGATGCACCTACCAAATCCGAGAAAACGGAATGACAATACACCGATCATTAACCTATCGTTTCCCTTTCTGCTAAGAAGAGCATCAGCCGCAGGGGCGGAACAAGGAGGCCCGGATCACGCCCCCCCCCTTTGGAAAATCCTTGATCCATCCCTGAGCTGGGTTTAATGACTGATGCAGACTAAGTTGTTAAATCATAATTATGACAAATTGAGTTTACATGTATACAAGTATGGGGTGGTATAATGAAATCCGGCCCAAGGTGTAGTAGCTTATTGCTTTGATTTCTTGCTCACCACTGCAAGCAATCTTTGACTCTAGTTGTTCGGGATTTTCACAGTCTATACCCAGACAGCGCCGTACTTCCACGCTTTCTTCCCCTCTACATTCTACATCTGGTTCTAAGCAAAGTACCCGTCTTGACTGGTATCCAATACCGCAAGATACGTCACACTTGCTCCATCCATGCTCCGAGTGCTTCATTATCTGCAATGAAGGGACAACGTCTTATTACATGCATGTAATCAGTTAATCGTTACTGGCTACGCCTACCTCTTTTTTTCTTCCTATAATTTGCATAAGTATAGAAAACTCAAGGATTGTATATTTGGGGAATCCCCCTCCAGTTTTTTAATCTTGCCAAACTGTTTAGTCCCCCCAAAAAACAAAGGCAACACTCTCTTCATTGGGCTGACCCTATTTTATGGTATTTGTTCAAATTTTAACAAAATGTGATTTTCTTACTGCCAAACTAACCATGCAAATTTGAATCCACTATGTGTCATGTGTTAATTAAAACACTCACTGTTTCCCCTCAAAATTTCCCTCAAAACCCTGCCTTTATTGGACAATAGTCCTATAGTTATTGAGCATGTCACAAACATCTCCAAAGGTGAATTCAAAATTTAAAATGTAAGCCTAGCTCTCCCTTCTATTATAGGAACAGGGTACCCAAATTAACAATCCCCGAAAACTCACCTTTTATTATTGTTCATATGGATTCACGGCACTAAATTCGAAGAACCAAGGCAAATTGACAGAATACCTTTATGTTCCCGTTTAAGTATTTCTACACACTTAACCAACGATGATTTGCATCAGGAATTTGAGAGAGTAAGTTAGATCTTCCTTAATGTCCACTTTATAACGACATAGGAATATGTTCGTTTGCGCGTACAGTTGCAAGACGCGTTCTATAACGCTACGCGATGGCGTATGTTCATTGCTTTCCTTTGCAGTAGCAAATCAATGGTTTTGAGCGTCCTCCAACGCGCTATCACAAATACACGTTAAACAACGGATCTTTTACCTATTTCCATTATTTTGTCTGTTCCTATACATGTGCATTTATTTTTAATTACACACGTATATACAGTAATTTTGAAATTCATTTGTGTAATTTTCTACCTTTTGGGTTAACATTTACAATGTCAAAATGTAGTTATCTATTAACATTAATTTTTAGTATGTTTCATATCCTTTTTCGCAATGTTTTAAGTAATTTGTAATCGTAATCTACACTTTTATTGTGTTAACATGCCCTCAATTCAATTGGGGCTGCTAGGGGAATGTGAAATAAAAAATAATTGAATACATGTACTCATTTTTCGAGGTGCCGCACCCATAAAAAAGCTCACATCCAACTTCAGCTCAATAACCTTCGCATTTACTTCTTTCTATAGTAAAAATACAACAAAATGTATTCGATATTCCCTTACAAGGAATACAGTCTTGTCATCATGAGTCCCTTGAAAAAAAAAAGCATTCACACTGTAGAATTGAAAGCAAAAATCAACATTAACTAATCAAAAGTCAACACAATGGTGCGATTATTTTATTAATCCTTCCAACTTGTTTGCTGGTTTGCTTTTCCAGGGTTTTTATCCATCAATATTATCAAATAAAAAAATCTACAACACCCTGGCACAGCCACCCCCCCCAAAAAAGAAACGTGACCATGCATTATGTAACAGTTTGACATGTTCATAACAAAAAACAGTTAAAAAATCTTGATTGAAGAGGTTGTTAAAGAATCAAAAAGGTTTCCCTGTTTTCGACTTCTGTGCCAAAGGACTAACAATAAGGTCAAATCTATTTTAAACATCCAGTAAAAACTACAAAATGTTTAATGGAACCCTGCTCAAATCATGTCGTTCAGGAGAGATGAAACTCCACTATTTTCAAGGAACTTTTAATGAACAGCAAAAAAATACACAGAACGAAACAAAATAAAACGACCAAAGATGAAAACAACCTACAAATGTATTTTACAATTTTCACTGCATGAGTAATGCTTTATGGAGAGTATTCCCTTCCTCTTGAGGCTCGACAACATCCCCAAAGTGTTACACTACTGTGTCTGGATGTACAGATGAAGTCCAAGTCAGTGGAATTGTCTAGACAAGCAAATCGGTTTACTTTTGATATCAAGTTGAAAGCCGTTTCCCTCTTGTTCAGACGGTTAAACTAAGTCACAGAATATGATTTCTTTACAAGGATGGAATAAAAATTGCTCAGATATCAGTGATTTACACATGAATTACAAATGTTGAGGGACTTCTAGTTAGACCAGGTGTTCTTAAGCCTTTTCAGGATTCAATATTTTCAGCACATCTATCTTGTAGATATAGTAGGACATATAATGCAACTGCACGGGTATTTTCGATCTCCATGTTGTACATTAACCAAACAAGCTAAAAGAATATTTGTTGTGACTCATCTGGCTCCATCTGTGCTCTTCACTGCTTTCTTGGTTCGATGATACCACGGTCCAATGTTAGTATTCTGAAGCATGTCATTGAAGGCATCTAATCCTTCAATAGAGCTAAGGACACCATAAACAGCCTGGATAGAAATGAAGACCAAACATAAATACATCTAGACTATCTAGAATGCCATAAATGCAAGTTCTTATAACTGACATTGAATAAAGTAAATGGAAATTACATTTACCAGATCTGCGAGGTTTGGTTTGTCACCTCCCATGAATTTACGAGTCCCTACAGCATTGATCCAGTCATAAGCTGCACTGTACAAACATGACCGAACATCATCAGGTATACTGTACCTGCAAAATAGACAAAACTTATCAGGAATGTTCACATTTTTAATTGTCCGAGACATGTGGTACATTTTCTTTTCAAAGTAAAACACGACATGTGATAAAAGCAAATGAATTCAAGGCTTATGCACATTCAACAGTGACCAGGCATGAATTTATGGTGTGATTTTTATGCCAATGCTCAACATCATAACAATCCAAGAAAATTCCCATTTCAAATAAAATGCTGGATCAGCATGAAACTTAACATGAAGAGGCACTTAAACCCTACTCCCTGTGCCTTTCTGGAACAAACTTTCAAAAGTCCTCCAAAGCTTTCTACTGTGGGAAACAGATGGCACATTCCTTGTATATGAGAACATCCAACGAGTACCAAACCAACAGGAAATAAAGGGGGGTTCGCTCTACCGTTTTTTTTTCTTGCAAAACCTCCTCATGGATTTGGCAGGGAGGGTTAGGGTTCAGAGGGGAATGGTTCAAATCCTTAATACAACAGACTGTCTGCATCCCCATCTACATGTACTCACTTCTTCTTGAGCTTCTTAGCAACAAAAAACATTCCAACAGCACCAGCATACTTGATGACAAACTGCTCAATCGTGCTGTACTTGCCATGACTTGAGATATAAGAGAATGCTTGCAATGACTCAGATGGGGAACGATAGATGTTAGGTGGGATGTAATGAACTAGGACACCATCAACCCACTCACGCCACTTCTTTTCTTCCCTAGAAATACAGACCACACAAAAATTTAATTTAGACTGTGTACTTAAAATCGTCTTACACAAATTCACTAAGTAAAATAAAAAAGTATAACCATTTTTGCAAGCACTAAATCAGTGTTGTAGTCGAGACCATCACAAGACCAGTCAAAAGTAACAGTGTGAACAATGGCAAAGGAATGCTTTCGTTGCAGTTCATTTGAATACGTGTAGCTTGTAACTTGAATTCAGGCTGCAGGCCTAAAATTTCATTTTTTGGGCACTGCTATTTGGCATTGGTGGACTGGCTGAAATAATGGGCACTAGTTAATGCCACATGTGAGGGCATTAATGCCATCAGCGTACCAAAGTTCTCGGCATTAATGCCATCCCAATTTTTTTTGAAAGTTTACTTTCTAAATGAGGTACATGTACGCCTATATCAATATTGCATGAAAATCAATATTCATTCAGGCCACAGAAAAAGTAGGATACGCATTATACCTGAACAAATCTGTGATTAGTGCAGAACCAGCAGCTGAGTGTTGAAAGGCTCTGGCCTGTTTTGACTGCAACCATTCTTTCCTCAGCATTTTGCCTACCACAAAAACTGGCCAGGCCAGTCAACTGAGTGACTTCACACATAACAACGTACATGAGAATCAGGGTAGTCCTGATCGATAGCATGTGTGTACAGTTCAGATCACGCACAGCGCATGGCACTAAACAGCAAACACTACATTGTACTTTGCGGTGTTAGTTAAAATACTACAACAACCATACAACTGTCCCGTGAGCATGAAAAACGTGGAACTCTCGATAAACCGTTAACGCATACACGTTGATGAGCACTTAGTTTTAAACCAACATTATTGCATGGTACATTAAAATGCTTAGCTTGGGTATGCGCTGTTATGTGGGCCAGGCTGGGCCGGGCCGCTGGTGTGCAGCGGGCTGAGTGTACGATATTCCCACATACACACAGTGCACACACGCCCTGCACATGCATGCATGCCATGCATTTGGGTGGCGTGGTGCACTGTGTTCAAGCTTAGCACCATTTTAGTCCCGGGTAAATTTTTGGATTAATCAAGCGTAGTGAGCAGATCTCCCACAGCCCATAGCTGGGTTTTTAGGGGAATACCAGAAGGGATTTCCCCTACGTCATCCTGAAGGCACGTTTACAATAATGCGTTTGTGATCAGCCGCTGATTTGTGAGAAATATATTTCTTAGGTCTTTACTTACTTGTTTAAAATTGTAAAATAGCGCAAAACTGCAACTTTATAAGCTTGAAATATGATCAAATTGGTTCTTTATATATATAATAATATAGCAATATTTCAGTTAATTACATGTACATGTAATTGGAAAATCCGTTTTGGGTGGCACAGCCAATTTGAACCCAAGAGCTGGGCGGAAATTTACAGTACCGGGTGGTGCCGCCCAGCACCACCCATTGTGGCTAGAACGCTGGTGGTGCAGTGTTTCAGTCAAACGTGAACAATAATGGGATGTTATGTACGTCACTTTCCGTGGAGCTCGCTGAACGGGGGCAATCGATATATACATGTAGGGCACTACGGCTAAGAAAAAATAAGGGCACTTCCATCTTGCGGGTGAAACACGATTACCTTTCGGGGGCACCATGGCCAAATGGCGAAATGGGAGGGCACCGGCGGCCATGGCCGTCGTGAAATTCGAGGCCCAAGGCTGGATGTCTTGTGTCGGTCTTAAGTGGCCTCAAATACAACACTGCACTACATCAAACGTGTCATCAAACAACTGAAATTTACAATATCAAGTAGTAAGGACAAATGAAAAGAATAACTCACTTTTCATGCACTGTCCGTCCTGGCATTCCCGTCATGATCTCATACTTGTTGCCAAACTCAATTGACTTCCTTCCCTTCTTGTCTTGAATTTCAATTTGAGGGAAGTAACTTACAATCTTCAGGAAGTCTTTCTCATCAGTGCTCATGTACGTAGTCAAGGCACTGATAATGACTGAAGAGTCATTCAGTTGCTGAAAAAATATCAAAAAGTCAACTTCTAACATACCATTTCACTTCCAGTTCTACAAATACAAGTTCAAAATTTCAGTTAGAAATTCATACTCTAAAATTCACTTCTTATCACATTTACTGCTGTGCCTTGTTTACATCTTGGCAGAAACTGTCTTAGTATTTTCCAAGAAAACTACAACATTTTAAAATTTAAATAAGTGTTTCTTCATCAGATTAAGCCTACCACATTTTGTTTTGGTTTTCAAGTGAAATAAATGAAGATAAGTGTTTGGAACTCTTTACAATTTACTTACTATCTTCTCATTAGCTGGTCCTTCTTGTATAAGGATTGGTACTTTACGGTACTTGGAAAATTTCAACTCTTTTCTGCGGATCGGATCAACTTCAACAACGTCATATGGGACGCCATAAAAATCAAGAAATGCCCTTAACTTGCAGCAGAAGGGACAGACTTCATACTGGTAAAGAGTGAGCTTTAGACGAGAAGCATCGACATCAGACAGGAAACGTTGACTGGTTTCATTTCTTTCTGAAGACTGTGCCGAGGCCGTACAAAGCCGTCTTCGAGCGCTGTACTTCAAAATGTATGACGACAGGAACACACCGCTTGCAATGCCAAGTCCGGCAAACAAACTCATTGATTTTTCAGGCATGTAGTCATGCCCAAAGTGGTCCGAGACATTCCTTATATTACGGGCTTGCACGTGTGGCTTTCGTGTGATATTTTGCTGGGCGAAGAGCAAAAATTTACGTGGATTATGGACACTTCCATGACTCCGTAAAATATTCCTCGTGATTGTATAAGTCGCCATTTTACAAACGCGCCATCTAGCGGCCAAATTTAAAAGCCCATTGTACGTACACGTTAACAAATATTATACAGTACATGTACCACGAAATCAGGGTAAATACCCCGGTTGGAAAGATTCCTGGATTCAGCCCCTGTATTATTGTAAAAACTTACCTCTGAGATCACAAAATCCAAATGAGCTCGTGTACTCAAACGCCTACATTTGGGACGAACGCAAATATTAAATCCAACAAAAATCCTACCGCTAAGGCTGGCAACTCAAGCCTGAACACGGAATACAATAAATTTGCAGAACAGGCCAAAAAAAAAATTTAATTAAAATACAAAGACCAAAGATAACTTGGCAAATAAGGAACAGGGCACACCGTTTAATTAGGCCTTAAAATATTAATTTCAGACAGAACAATTTCACATTCTAAATTGAGAACAAACGGCATCTTTCAAAACTTTCCGACGGTCACCTGGCCATGCTCCACGTTACACATGGTGATACTCGTACATGTACTGACAATAAATCACGTTTCTCTTCTGAAAGATTAATATTCACAAAGCTATCGATACTGTAAATGCAGCCAACAATAAAAACTTAGGCCCACACATCCACCCTACTTGATCCTCCATCGATTGCTTCCACAACATCTCACCAATCAGGTCCGTTACAAATCAAATGAGACACATCTACAACACGACTGGAATTTAAAAAAACCTCGAGACTTTCATCTTCAATAAAAAATCATGATTATGCAATACCCATGTAGATGTTGTAAGTTCTGCAATCCGAAAAGAGTATGCTTACATAGCTCAAATGTAATTAAATTTGTAAGTAGGAGTATAAGCCAAATAAAACATTGGAAACTGTTCAACAACTAAGCGTGAGTAAAATTAAAATAAACTTTTGCCTAAATATTGTCGCTTTTTCTATTAACTTTAAGATGTAATTCTTTAATAAGGGGAAAAGGTAAATTATTAAAATAATGAATTTCTGAAAATGTTTAGAAATATTCAATGTCTAAAATGCCATTCAAGAAATAAATACAGGAGAATGAATAACCAAAACTAATTGTTATCGCCTATCTTTTGACAAAATTAAGGAGCACAATCCATACTTTTGCTTATACCATAAAACAGTCACTAAGACAAGATTTCACCATCTACAAATGTTCATTGGAGGCTTAAAAACTACGATTACCTGGAAGGTTGGGGCAAATATATGAAGCAGGGTTTCGACTACTTGTATTGCTATTTTTTAATGGTTTGAGAATAAACATGGACGTCATCTTTTTTTTCCATGGGAGGAAGCATTCATCAGCAGCAAGCTGACAAATCCTTAAGAGTAGAAAGAAGTCTCCTAGGAAATATAGGTATTTCAACCAATAGGTTCTTTCCATCCCTTGTCCTCTTTCTTTCACTTTTCTTTTGTTCTTTTTAATTTTTATTTTTATTTTCTTTTAGAGTGGTGCCTCGCAAGACAGACGGTGATGAAGGAAAGGGGTTACAGTACTTCTCTTCTCCAAGTGCTAAAAATTCATCACAATTGAAAAGATTTTGAATTAAAGCCAGACACACTTACAGTTATCACTATAATTGTAAGATCAATATGTGCAAATATGAAATAAAGATCAAACTGTACAAATCTTCCAATAAGGAAGCAAACGGAAGACAGCAGCACTGAATATACCTTTTCAAATAAATATTTTTTTAAAATGGAAAATGCCCGAGACAAATCAAAAAGCACAAATTTGTTAACCAACATACATGAAATGCACACAAACGCCAATTTGTTAATACTGTGCTAATCATTGAATGTGTTGAATTTATGTTAATGAAGAATTCATTTAAATTACAATAATTTACAAGTTAATTGAATTCTCACCTGTAATTTGTATACAAAAATACTGACAAACACCATTCTGTTACCGTCCCATTTATTAAATATGCCATTGCTCGTTAACTTAAAACACTTGTCTTATTCACTATTTTGAACAAGATTTTCTTTATTATACTGACAATCAAAAACATATTTTGTAATTTTTAGTTTACACTTCATTACACTAAAAATGTAAATAACGTTTTAATTTTCATCAGAAAGTAGACAACTTTTGCGCTCGTTTTTTTTATAAACTCTGATTTCACAATTGGCCTCACAATTGAGAACACGGTCTTTTAAAAGTCCATATTGTAAATATGATCTAAAAACGTAATGTTACTTCAGAAAAACAGCCCTTAGCCTTTTACATCAAGATAATCGTCTTTGTTCAGATAAAACAATACTGGTACGCAATCCTAATCCAGGAGGAATGAGCGTATTATAAATAACATACTCTGTGCTACAAAAACATCACTTTACTAATTGCTGCTAATTCCTGGCAGTTGGCAAAAGCTGCATTAACAATATGAACACTGCCGCAAGACATTTTGAGAACTAATATTTCATGAAAAAACTGAAGTACATCTCACACACACAGTCAGTAACAATGTGCAGCTATTTGGTTTGTTAAGAGTACATGTACATGTTGTTGTAAGACTGGAACAAGTCTATCACTCCAAGTCCATCAGGGATAATCTAACCTGCATTGAAATAACAAGAATAGCAAAAGGTTTAAGAATGAAACTATTGGTGAGATGATCTCAACAATGCAATGTAAATGCACAGGAGGACAGACAATATGATAAAGATCTCAGTAACTTCTATTCAGTGAAAGAACAGAGTAAGAAAGACAGTAAGAAACCCACATCAGCCATCTGTGTAAATGCAATATCGCAGTGGTTCCATGAGCAATCAAGAAAAAATTGGTCAATTACAACCCCCTGCCAGTGAGTGTAACTCTGGTCAGCGCAGACTAGTTTAGGGGCACCATCTGTGACATGCAAGAACTTGCTCAAGGCTCTCTGCAACGGATCAAACATTCTGATTGACAGTTCTTGTTGTGCTCAAGACTACACTCCAAGGCAAGAGTGACAAAAAAGTATCTTTAAAAACACCAAGGCTCAAAAGAAGAGAGGATTACTTACTGTGGTTTCATCTAACGGAAAGAGGACATCATCATCACAGTCCTGAAGGAATATCTCCTTGTTGGGATCAAATTGGTGAAGACCATTCGAATGTTTATCATACCAGAGTGAACTGGATGTCGAATGACTCGTATGGAGGGGCTTAGATTCATCATTGTCTTCCAGTATCAGTGGCTCATCATCATCATGGAGACCATGAGACACATGTCTGTCATCCTTTCTTTTGCCCTCTTTGTCATCGGCACTGCTTAAATCTAGCAATGGCTCATCTCCATCACTATACTTCTCACAGTATTTCTTGCTTGGCTCTTGATCACTACACCTTAAATCAAGTAATGGCTCATCATCAGACTCTTCATCGATGTATTCTTCATCTTCGAACCATGCTGGTGCTTCATCATAGACCCTGCATGATCCTCTCTTAAACAGTTTCCAGGGTTTAGGGAATTGTTTCTTAATCCCTTTTGTTGACAAGGGCATTACACTCTTTGTGTTTAAACTCGTATCAAACTCATCATCCAGTAACAGAGGTTCCATCTTGGCTTTTTGGAGTTTCATCAGTTTACGCTGCTTTCTTCTTTTGTGACTAGCTGAGTTGAGAACTTCTTGTTTCTCTAACTGTTGCTTGGCAAAGTTCACAAATACCTGCAGAGTAGTAGATTGAAGGCCAAAAAACACAATTACACTCATAGTCCAGAAAAGTTCTATGTCACTGATTCTCAAAGCCATTACATGTATCTCTGAATTTGCTGAATACTCTCTTTTAACCATTGCTTCAATCTATAATACATATACTAATTGTAAACAATTCATTGATGTTTTCAAGCCTTTGTCCTGGGGACCTTAAAAATGGCAAACATCAGAAATATATTTGTCTAAAACCACAGCGTTCAAGAGAAATAGCAAGCAAAAAAAGCATTCATAAAAAGGAAAAAAATACAGACAGCACAACATCGCATGCTGATGCAGTAAAGCTTATCAAATATATACAACCCTTTCCATACAGGAGTACATGTATTGATAAATATAGCAAATGCTGTTACGTTATCTAGAGTCATCTGACTGATGGAGTAATCTTCGATCTGAAGTGATTCCTGAACATCCTGAAGTTGGCCAAACAAATCCTTGAGAGACACATGCTCCAGTGGGATCTCATACTGTAGAATGCTGTAATGTTCCTCCTGACAAGAGTCCAAACGAAAGATGCGATCAATCAATTTCATGACATCATTACATGTCTATCTAGTCTGTGTACAACTCTTTGCCAAATGAAGATGCAAGGCATCAACCATGCCTACAATACACAGTACACCGACTGACTTGCATAAAATTTGATACACAACAAGCGATATGAAGATGCCCCTGAAGGTGGCCAGTTCTGCAAAAAGGTGTGTTATGTCACTTTTTTTGAATTTGAGTTATATATATAATCAAATAGCTCACATCCTCAGCTTTCATTTGATATATAATTCTTCCCAGTGGCATTTTGCATTTTCGAATTATTTGTCATTTGCATATTCATATAATTCCATTTTATCACTCAAGCCTTTTGAGATAATCCCTTCAAACATAACGAACAGAAACATTTAACTGAAGTTAGACACTCTCTTGGTTTTCCTTAGCAACAGAGTCTTACTGGTCAAGAAACTGGCCTCCAAATATTTCCAAGTGTTTTCTCTCTCAGCACATGGAATGGGCCATTACGTGTTTCTGCATTGTGTGACTTAATACACCCTTTTGCAGAGCGGGTCACAGAATTTATAAGGTAAACTTCTTTACGCTAGTTGTTGGTTGGAGAAGTTTTTATACTGTCAACATCCTAGATCAACAGAGTTCAGGGATAATGTAGCACCTGTACAAAATCAAGCAACCATGACGGGCGCATTACGCCCACAATTCATTATTAGCAAAACACACATCAAGTCAAGTTATATGTAAACTACCAAACTATTTATATCTCAATTGAAAAGTCATGCTTTGGATAACTAATAATTCATCAGCTTCAACTTGATAACAACTTTGACCTTACTTTCAGCACAGCATAAGGGAAGGTGTGACTGAAGAATCTGCTAACAGGTCGAAGGTCAGGTTCTTGACCTCTGACCCTGATAGTGATATAGTACCCATCTCCAAATTTGTTCCTCAGATGCTGAGCACTGCCGAGACACTGAAGGTTGCTGTTAACCATGATAGCTAGACGAGTACATAGGACCTCACATTCCTCCATACTGTGCAGAATAAAATTGGATCAATGTCAAATCAGACCGAGTGTGTTAATATCAATGGAATCAAGGAATCTAATACAAGCTCCAGTGATGACAACTGTAAGGGCAGTAAAACTTGACCAGAGAAAAAACACAGGAACAGTCTAGAGACGTCCACTGTAAAGGGAATAAGATAATAAGATCCAGGTTAGTTTAGGCCCCAAACCTAGGCCAGCATAAAATACTACCAACAGCAGATTGCTAAATCACCTCACACACCCCCAAACACACACACTAGTTCAGTTACCATTTTTAACAAGAAGTCCACCACACTAAGGTATACATGTCCC